TTAAGCCCATCCAAACGGGCCCTTAGTATAATTTTACAACTGAAATCAGGGAAGGTGGTGTATACGCATTCTTACTCTTAGCTTATAGAGTTACAGCGATTATTTTTCGAAAGAGTCTCGATTCAAGTAAAACCTGTAAAGAATCAAGTATGGAAAGCAAACACAGTAGTGAAGAAGTCACGTTGAAAACAATAAAGAAGAGAATAATAGCAACAACAAGTTACGATAACCGAAGCAAATGAAACAACGGTTAATACTAAAATCAAAGAATACGATAATAGGAGATTAGGAGGATAATAGTAACAATACTAACATTGAAAATAGACAACACTCAATTACCTGCTAAGTACCCTAATTCTAAACTTCTATCGTATGACATGTTCTGTCTAAGTACTCCCCACTTCTTTCATTAACCAACCTTTACCTTTCATCATTTCCAAGCTCATAAATAGTAATATAACAGTAGAGTTGAAGCAACTTTACAAAATTATTTTTCAAGTTTTATAATGTATAGTTTGAATATATTTTTATTAAGTTATAAAGAAATTTTACATAATAGTAACTCCACTTATAAGATCATTACCACTAAATATATACTATAATCATTTCTTAATAAAGTTATTAATTACTAATTACCCTCAATTAATCTTGAGCTGCAAAATAATCTTGTCTAATTCCTCATGTGAACAAGGAATTTCCAAAACACCTTTTTGTCTAAATCCATATTCTTCTTCAGCCAACTTTAATAAACTCAAAAATATTGGATTTTTTAACCAATTTAATTCTAAAATAAACCTTTTTCTTTCTTCCTTAGTATTGACAGCAAAAATAGCAAAATGTCCTTCCTTCACATCATATGGTACAACTTCTTCATCTTCTATCGACGTTTCTTTGAAATTAATGCTATTTTTATCGTCATCATAACGAGTCGAAAAATAAATCTTGATGACCTTCTTGATTAAAAGCTTAAATATTATCATGCCTTTAATTCTTTCTCCTCCAATTATCTTGAACATTTTCGAAATGATTTTTTTGAGTAAAATTTGTGAGATAATAATGTGTAGAAATGAAAAGGGGAATTTATAATTAAAATATGTAGGATAAGAAGGGAACAAATGAAATTTCTAAGAGGCTTCAAATTTCAATATATGTGGGTCCATTTATTTATATTATATAGTTGTCATCCTAGTGTAATTGAAACATTTTATGGGTTTTTTCCTGCTTTAATTTGCAAATTTAATATATGTTATCCAATGTCTATACTAGTGGGAAAAAAGGTGCATGTATTTGTTGAATATTTTCTAGCTCTTTATATAT